GGCAGCGGCAGCAGAGAGTAGCGACAACGGAGAAGAAATCTTGGTGGCAAAATCGCGAGTGTTAGGGTTGGGGAAGTCGGGGAAATCGCGAGAGGGAGCCTGATATCGGTGATTTAGTTGGTTCGAGTGAACCAACTAAAGCACCGAAGACCAACCAGACCTAAAAATCTGGTTCGGTCACCTCTTTGAAGCGAAGCGCTTGGACATCAAGCGAGGCGTTCGGGCCTCGCCTCGCCCGAGTGCCTATTAAAATCACTGGTGTCACCCATATTCGTCCCATTGCCTCTTGAAGGATTTGATCCAATCCGTCAGTTTTGCCACCTCCTCATCTAAGTACACGCTGTAAATCTCCCTCGGTGTTGGAGGTTAGATCCCCGTGCCAGACTTTTGAATAAAAGAGACCATGCTATGATAATATGGACCTTGGGCTATATTGGTTGGAATCTTGTGGAGGTTAAACCATTTTGAGAATGTCTTCCCAATATCCCGCTTTTTTTCTTTTGTGTATGCATCGTTAATCCGTGTCTGTTTTGTCGTTTGTGGGGGATAGGCTTGCGGATTAATATCAATAATATTTGGTGCGGACCTCTTGCCAAGACATCTCATAAAACCACGGAGTCCACCATACCTCATGTTACTAGTTCGACCTAACTAAGGAGTACTTGGCTGCTTCATGTTGGCCGACCTCTAGATTCCACAACCATTGCCATGCTCCAATTGTGAGTCAGGTCGTCGATGCCTCATTGCTTCATCGATCGTATACTGATGCTCCAATGATGCACAAATCCTAAATGTGAGATCCGGGTCGACTTGATCACCGCAACCCTCATACTGATCATAAATTGGTTCTTATGTTGCCCTATAATATTCTTCTTCAACTCTTGCCTTCTTTTTTAATGTATCTTCCTTTGCTTGTTGTAGTTTGCTTTGAAATAATTTACGAATCTCCGTCGGAACCTTCTTGCATTTTATAATATCAGAATACCCTCCAGCCAAATGCATTTTCACCTGAGTTATTCCTCCACCCTTGCTAATGTAGTCATAATAAATACATTGCTAATGATGATGATTCTCATCTATCTTTCGAGCATGAACCCATGCATTATTATGTGGTTGTTCTTTTGGTGCCATAATCCTACCAAATTTAAATCAAATAAACTATAAAGTATAAACATATTGAATTGACCAAATATCGATCAAATATCACTAATCGCAGCATTAAATAATTTTATTAAAAAATAACTAATCATATTTTATCATCATAAATATGTTACATACACTAATTACTTAGATGACTAATCGAATTAAACATATTGAATTGACATAAAATCGAATAAATTTTATCATCTTTTGCCATTTTGTACCTAAGAGACCATTTATCATCTAAGAGACCAATCGAATTAAACACATTGAATTAAACACACTAATCACATTGAATTGAGAAACCATTTTGTACCTAAGAGACAACATAGGTACATTAAAAAACATATTTTGCCATGTTTATGATAAAAGAAGCATTAAATACATAATTTTGATTCAATATGGTTTAAATTATAATAAAATCATTCTTAGATACACTAATCACCTAATTAACATAGTTAATTATTTATTAATTACTTCTCTTCCAACACTATAAAAATGTCAAATACCCTAATAGGTATTAAAGACACTAAATTGACATAAAATCGATCAAATTTTAATTAAATCATCATTAAGATGACTAATCGCAATATTAAATAACTTTAATAAAACCTATTTTACCATCATATATATGTCAAACACATAAAAAAAATATTAAATATGTAATTTTGATCCAATATAGTTCAAATTATGATGAAATCATCGTTAGATACACTAATTATATTATTAACAAAGTTAATTTTTTACTAATTACTTCTTTTTCAACACTATAAACATGACAAACACCTTAATAGGTATTAAACACATTGAATTGACATAAAATCGAATAAATTTTGATTAAACCATCATTAAAATGACTAATCGCAGCATTCAATAACTTTAATAAAACCTAATTAAACTTATTTTACTATCATAAATATTTTTTAATATTTAATATGCATGAAATATAAATATTTGAGTATTTGACCTATTAAGTATCTAATTTTGAATTAATCAATATTAAACACACTAATCATTATATTAAATATCTTAATTACTCTCTAATTAAAGAAAGAGAATACATATCTCTTGATTACAAAGTTCTTCTTCTTAATCTTCCCAAATTAGTCTCGATTTAATTCACAAATCGTTATTTTGTAGAGTTTAGGTGAGCATAAATGTGAGAAAAAAAGAGTTTGAGATAGTTTAAGAAAGTATGAGAATGTAATGGAGTGAAATAGGGGAGAAATATTTGAATACTATGAGAAAGGGCTCCAATAGTCAATTTGATCGTTGGAGCACTGTAGCACTATTACCGAGCAAGAACGGTCGAAATCGACCGTTACTGAGCTGTGTCGGGCGGTAACGGTTGAAATTTGGACCATTACCGCCCGATATTATCCCGTATTGTTCGACAAGGGGCGCTTTTAAACGTTCCGCCCGGTAGCGAGTAGTCCGCGTACTAGTATGTCGTCGGACCGATATGTACCGCCCATACTGGGCGTACCATTCGAAATTGTATACCTTTTTTAAAACTTCACTAAGCCAAACTTAAATTTGCTTAATTTTTACAGGGTAGGTCCTAATGAGGATATTCTTTGGGTATATTTTTCCAAACAAAAATGTTCAACAATAAGGAGGTTTCGGATAAAAATATTGTTTTCAGGAAACCTTATAACTGGCCTATACTTGACTAAAATTTTTCAAGGTCAGTCCTAGTGATAGGGAAGTTCTTTGGATGTGTTTTTGGATAGAAAAACATGAAAACATGACAGTTATACTATTTTCTGAAAAACTTATAATTGGCTTAAACATGACTAAATAAGACAAATTTACTCAATTTTTGTGGGATGGGTCATAGCGATAGAGGTAACTAATTGTAGAAGATGGTGTATTTGCGGACAAAGAAATTAAAGAATGAGGGAACCAACTGTTTTCAAGAAATCTTGTAACTTAATAAATCTTCATAATATGATATCAAATTTTATCAATCTTCTACAGGGTCTTTGCAATAAGGAAATTTATTTGGTATATTTTGGGCTAAAATTACCCAAGGATAAGGCAGTTACATTATTTCTAAAAAATCTTATGACTGATTAAAACTTTATTAAATGATGTTCAATTTCACATGTCTTCTTCAAGTAAAGTCTTTGTGATTAGGAGGTTTCTTGTGTGTACTTTGAGTCAATAATATCTAAGAATTAAGCAATTATATTATTCCCAAGAAACCACGTAAGTGGCTTTTGAGGTAGTCTAGTGACACCTTAGCTGAACGAACTGAAACCAAGGTTCGTTGTACTGTAGCATACCGCTTGGTACGGGTGGTATGTATCGGTTCAGCAAGGGATTGGTATGAGCATTAAATACCAATTTGTCAGTATGCTCTATCGTACAGTACGTCGGCTTAGTTCAGTACGTATCATATCGACAATTGATTGGTACACCGGTACGGACCTGCAACGCAAACCATGACTGAAACAACCTACAGCTTGGTGTGGGAAAATGACAGGTCTTTTCTCTTGGTATATTTTGGTCATCCGGGTAAAAGAGGTGCCTTACATGAATAAATGCAAAACAGGACATGATTTTGGAAAACTAGAAATCTTGGGGCATTTTGCATGGAATTCACCCATTTAACATTCCAAATTCTAAATAAACTATATTGTAGAGACAGGCAACTCAATGTAACATTCTGAAATTAGATAAAGGTATCAACGAAAATCATCTATAATTTCTACAAAATTTTAAATACTAAACTACAATTTATAAGAAATTTAAAATAAAATAATTCTAATTTCAATGAATTTTAAATAATAAACTATAATTCCTAAGTGATTTATGGTAATAAGAATTAACTCCATGACAGACTATGCAACCTTGACTCTGGCTGCACTGATATGGTCTTAATTGTGGATTGGTATGCTGTCTACATGGAAGAGTAAGCTACGAGCCGATAACAAACTGTTTTTGAATTTGACACCATAAGACAAGGTTGCAAATTGAGTGGTAAGAAGCATCCAATTTATGCATATTTCTTTAAAATAATATGAAACCTTTTCTTATGCATTCTCTCTAGGCATTTCTTTATAATTAGAAAATGTTTGAAGCTTCCATGCTTACATACTTGCAAATGGTCCTTCTGCCCACAGCTCTTCAGCAAAATTAAGTTTTAGGAAATGCATACACTATTAGGATACTAACCATCCATCATCATAGCAACTTATGTAATCAATATATCCATCCACTTTATAACAAGATGAAATGATCTTGTAATGAAAATTTCCTACTTGACCTGCTCAAAGAGCAACAGATGTGAAGAGCATCATCTTCTGCTGCCTGCTACTTCTTTATAACTTGTATATTTGAGATGGGGGTGTCTCTTCCTAAAATATGGAAATATATGCAGTAGAAGATGCAGCAGGAGTTTGACACATAATATATCTCTTCCTACAATTTGGAAATATATGCAGCAGAACTTGAAATGCTATTAAAAAAATGTGCAATTTCAGTTTTCACTAATATTTGGTCACCTAATGTGAAACAAACAAACAAAAGATTCTTTACTTTGATAACATGCTAAAGTCTGTGTTTCTTATGATATATTTGTCCTTGATTTATGAATAGCTCATGAAACAATCAAGCCAAAGTTCTTTTAATTTGATGACATGCTCAATCTGTGTATCTTATTTAGATGTTTGGCCATGACATATGAATAGCTCATACAACTTCAAGTTTGGAATGTTTGCAAGATCTCCTGATAATTTTTGAAATAATTGAACTGAAGTGAGTTTGTATGTCTCAGCTGAACTGCAGTTATTTATTTCCTTTCTCAAGTGTGGTCACTTGTGACAGTTCTGTTTCTTATGTATTTCTCTCAACAGTTCCGGTGCAGGTACTTTTAAAATTTTTCGTCCTGCTGTTGGGGAAGCACTAAGGTATTTTAAATGGTAGTAAAACCAATTTTCTTTTACGACAGTTTTCTATTGGTTCTAGATTTTATTGTTGTGCTCTTTTCTCAGGGAAATGCTTGCAGCTGAACTTAAAAATAAATATAAAAAGTTGTCTTCGATTGATAAAGCCAGCAAAGGCTGGCAAAATGAGTATGAGGTTTCTTCTACCCAGGTAATCATATCTGAAATTTTACTAATATTAACAAGATGCAGTAGTAAAAACTATCTATGAATCACATTTAAATGCTAATAGTCTTTGGTCATAAACACTATCTATGAATCACATTTAAATGCTAATTGTCTTTGGTCAACTATCTCAACCTAGGAAGTGCTTTATTTCTTCCTATATACTCCTATGGGTCATCCCATATCAGCTACATCTTGTGCCTTTCTTGGCACGATATAACTTTATGATCTAACTATTTGATCCTGTGTCTGCTGGTGTTAGTCAAATTAGAATATTATGCAAAATGTACAACAAAAATATTGGACAATGTAACTGAAACAGCCAGTTGGATGAATTGAAACTGAAACTTATAGCTAGTAGATAGAGTAATTGAACCTAAATGCTCCTTTGCTAGTAAAGGATATTGTATTGAACAAGGCAAACAATAATGCTAGAAATTAGTGTTATTTAAAATTTTAAATTTCGAGTTTAAACATTAAAAGGTTTGTGTGCACCAGAAGTAATACAAGTTCCAAAAGTGCTTCAAGATCCTCAAATGAATTGCTGCTCATACGGAGTGCGATTACAGAACATCTTTTTTTGTCATTGTTTAGTTGTGTGAAGTTGTCCTTGCTAGTTTGTGAAATCTTTATCCAATTTACATTTTAATTTTTGTGGATCTGACATTGTTCATTATGCTTAAACTCCAATCCTTTCATGTGACAGTGTATGCATGGGCCCAAATGTAAACTTGGCAATTATTGTACGGTTGGGAGGAGGTTACAAGAGGTGAACATTTTGGGTGGTCTTATTCTTCCTGTATGGGGATCTATAGAGAAGGCTTTATCTAAGCAAGTAAGAAATTTGCCTGCTTTCGTCATTTCATTTTCCATCCAGTTGTCAATAGGTTTATTCATTTGTCTAAGAAATTTTAACTCTGAGAAAAGGTTGATATTCATTGCATTAGAGATATATATACATAAGCCGGCATAATTAATTGTCACATGACGTGTATATTTAGATCTGAGTGTCCTATTCTAATATTTAACTATCATAAATGACCCAAATATATGACACAGTACTAAAGACCATGGTGGTATACAAAACATATTTTGGGGTTAAAGAAACTCCCAACTGGTCTGCTGTGAGCAATGTCGCCCTATATGTAATGATTATTGCATTTGTTGTACCAAAGAGAAGTTCAATTAATGCTGACTAAATACACCTACACTAGTGGTAGCGACATTCGCAGATTTTTTTTCCCAGCAGTGCAATTTAAGTCAACCTAGGTACATATCATTATATGTACTGAAGTTTCAAATGCTGGTCGGTGCTTGGCATTTTTGGTCGGTATTATTCGACAGAAGACTGGTGTTTGACCATGTGATCCATTACCAGTCAGTATTAATATTTAGTTGTTTTTTGGTTGATTATATGCAGTGCAGGGTGGTGTACCACCCGATAAACCAAGATCATATTGGTCTGGCAGATTAAAACCTTGATATATACAACTACATACAAATCTTCTCAAAATGATCCTTGACGGTCTCTTGACAGCTTCATTCTACATGGTAACAGAGTTTGACTTAGGAGAAAAGATTTGCAGTCTACACTGGCAGCATCCTGCCGTATAATTTAAATGTGAGAAATAGAGCATACACATTTGATGTACAAGAAAGCAGTGCAATTAATTTACTTGATTCTAACTAAAATATTCCTAGGGTGTGTAGACAATTTGTTGTTAGCACTTAGCAGTAATTGCAAAGTTGCTCCTAGTGAAACTACATTTACTTGTTGCTCTACCAAGTAACTTAGGTGAGTGAAAGATTTGCATGCAATTTTATGTAGAAGAAAGAGTATATAGGACTTTCTACTAAGTAACATGGCATGGTTAATATTAAATCCCTGTTTTGAGAATTAGGCAAGAGATGACAGTTATATTATATTGGTCGTGTAATTTATTATAAAATAGGACTATTATTATGAGCATGGATCTTTTGCTGCCTTGATACTCTATAAAAGGAAATAGCCTTAGTTAAATTAAAATCATTAAAATCTTTATTTATCATTGTTAATAATGTCTTCTTAGTTCATCCTCTATCTCTTGCACCATTAATACTAATTATCTTACCATTTCTAACAAGTGATATTAATAGATGAAGACCCAAGTTAGGCGAGGTGAGGCTCGAGAGTCGATTTGAGTTCGAGCAAGTGCCTTCAATTGGGTCTAGTCTAGTTGTGCACTTGAGCTCAAGCCTTGGTGCTCATGCAAGTGCCTGAACCAAATCAAGCTTTTTTGAACTCGACCCAACCAATTCTAGTGATGTTGGTCTAACTAAACCCCCTGGTTCGAACTAACCCCCCATGGTAGTGCCCTGGAAACCTCCTCGCTTGATCAGGGATCCTCCTTCCCTCTCACGAATGGTGGTACCTCCCCTCTTTTCTCTCTTTATCTCTCGTCAATGCACCTCCCTCCTCTGTCCCTCTCGGTGTTGCTTTCCCTCTTTCCTTGGCTTTTGGTAACCATCTCCATCGTTCACCACCTAGCAACCCAACAGCTATCCCATGTGCTTCTATTCCCAGTAATCCCCCTTCTATTTCTCCCATTCTTTTGCCATATCCATCTCTGCAAGATTTGGGAAGAAAAGGAAGTTAAGCCCTAGATTTATTGGACCTTTTGAGGTCATTGAGAGGATTGGTTCTGTTACTTAAAGGATTGGCTTTCCACTATCCTTGTATCATATCCATGATGTACTCCATGTATCGATGCTCAAAAAGTTTATACCTCATCCCTCCCATATCATTAAGAATGAGTCAATTGTGATCGATAAAGACTTATCTTATATGGAAGAACTCACTCAGATCTTTGATAAAAAAGAAAAGATCCTGAGAAATAGGATCATTCCTCTTGTTAAAGTGAATTGGAAACATCATTATCTTGATGAAACTACTTGGGAGCTAGAGGAGAAGATAAAGAATTCTTACCCTCATATTTTCATTGATTGAGGTGTGACAATTCAAAGGACTAAATATTCTTTTGAGGGGGGGGAGAGTGTAATATCGTTCATTTTTTGAATTGTTTATAATATCCATGATTTTTGTTTGATTATTTTAATGAGGAGTCTCTGCCTTCTTTTTTTTTTTTTGCCTAGCAGCCCCCTCTGCTCTCAATGCCCCTCCCAACTAGGACCAACCCCCCTGTCTGCTTCTTTGTCTCCATGATATTACCCATGTAATGTTAATTAGTATTAGTGATATCTAACTTTTTTTTCGTCATAGTTTATGAATTATTTTGACAGAATTTGTCATTGCTAGTATTTTGGATAGTCATTGGAATTTTAGGATCCTAAATAATGGCAACCGTAGGTTAATACTACAGATGAATCATAAGCAAGAACTCAAAAAACCATCCTGCATAGAAATATAATTTTTTTTAATTATTTAAAGGATCCAAAGGATGCTAATGCTGTAACTTGCATGTTTTATAATAAAACAACTAGAGGTGGTATATTTTTTGTAAAACAACATCAAGTACGGAACTTCAAAAATCGATCAACGTGCAAAAGGTGTTCTGCGGATGCATGCAAAAGATACAGACATATATGAATGAGAAAAAGATCCAAAAGGTTGAATCCTATGATTATTTACCATAATATGATGATGATGAGAATCTTGGAGATAGATTCTGAAGATGAAGATGGTGTGAAAGAGATAAAATACTTATGGCAAAAGGGAATCTGACAAAAGAGGAAAGAAAGTTGTTACCAAGAAGCCCAAAAAATAAGAGAAAGTCACGCAGAGCCAAAAAGGAACGAAGTTAAAGCAATCAAATATAAATGATGCCTATGGCAAAGGAGTAGAAAGATTCAATACATGCTTCATATCAAGCAGCTATTGGAAAGTATCGTTCTAACTTGAAACTATTGGAAGATATATTCCTAACTTGAAGCTTCTAAGTTATTATGAGCTAAGATTTTTATTATTAAAAAACAAGTTGGATTACACAGAGAGTTTGGTGAAGGGTCATAATGATATATGGTCTAACCATGGCTGTTCTATTACATCATATTCATGGACTGGTAGGAGATGAAGTAGTCTTATACCTTTTGGTCAATTGTTCATTAGGAACCATGAATGTATAGTATATTAATGCATATGCTTTCATCAAATTTGGAGAGAAGACATTTCATTACTTGGCCTGTTTGTTGAGAAGATTGAAGAGTAAAATGTTATTCAATTCATAATCATAAACAAACAAGTATGTTGTAGCTTGTATGTTTTTTTTCTTGAATGTTTTAATCAAGGATTTTAATTTCGAATAATATAGCCCGTACCGAGCAGTACGTACAGGTCCGCTAGTAGATCGATATGCGGACTGCCCGCTATCGAGCGGTACCGTCGATTGGGGCTGCTTCTGCCTTGTTACCACCCTAAATCGGTCGATGACGGTTGATTTCGGCCGTCGTCATTTGCTACCGGGTGGTATTAGCCGAGGGAGAGTCGAGGGAGAAGGAAAGGGAGAACCTGGAGATCCGACGTTGCTCACCCTCGATGATCCCGAACCATCGCCACCCTCCCTCGTCGGATGTCGCAGATGAGATGTCGCCTCCTCGTCTGAGGCGACGAGGACTCGGCTCGTTGGCGACTTCTCATCTACGTCCGGCGACGTCACAAGGAGAAGAAACGGAGTGTCGTCGAGGCGGTGACGTCGGCTCGTTGCCCTTTTTTGTGTGGGGAGAAGGAAACCTCGGTTTCTTCTCCCCACACGGGCAGAAAAAGGGACATCACTTTTTTTTTCTTAACTTATATATATATATATATATATATATATATATATATATATATATATATACTTTGTACTGTACCGTACTAAGCTATGCTCGAAACTTCGGTATGGTACGAAATTATGATCCTTGATTTTAACTATATTATTTTTATGTATTTAAATACATATCAATTTTGTTTTACTCTTGTTTAGCAAATTATTTTAGGCAAAAAAAAATCATATTTATATTGGACACTATGCGTGGCTTGTTTTAATGATCTAATGTTAGAGGATATTAGAAAAATTTTAGAGACCTAATGTTAGATGGTATTGGAAAAATTAATAAATCAAGATTTTAGAGAGGCTATTTTTGTTGTTGGCCTTATATACAAACACATTGGAGACTTGAATATGATGTGAGAAGAGATGGGTGAGATTTGGTGTCACTCACTTTACCATAACATATCTCACATTGTAAAGTATTCATAGGTAAAAGCATAATCTTATAACATGTTGATGACACAAAAGGGCAAGCGTTATCATTTTGATGTCATTGTTTTGGAATCATATGGCTGTAATAAGCCTTCTTGTTAGAGTTCCTCAGCTTGCAAATAATGAGAAAATGTTGACAATAGGATATCTTTATAGGTTTATGTATAGAGCCAAAGAAACATTGCAAAAGTCTTTTGGTGGAAATGTTGAGATATTTAAGGATATCTTTGTAACTATAGATAAAAGATAAAAAATGTAAGCTTCATCTTCCATTATATATAGCATAATACTATTTGAACTTATAATTTTTTTATAAGAACTCATCCATGGAGCTCGATGTAGAAGTTATCAATGGTTATATAACTGCATTGGATACATGGTACATCTTAACATTTGTTGTTATTAATAGTTAAAATATAAATTTGCAGTTGAGTGATCGAGCTTATTTGGAAATTCGACCCTAAATTTATAGCAATTAGCTATCAAGATTTGACTTGTAGCATTGTGGGTTACGAGCGAAATTGAAATGTCATTGAGAATGTAAGTATTCTTTTTTATATATTAATGCAACTAATGAGAACTACAATTCATATGACAT